TGTGTGTGTGTGTGTGTGTGTGTGTGTGTGTGTGTGTGTGTGTGTGTGTTGATCTGACCTCTCTCTCTCTCTCTCTCTCCATGATCAGGTGTTATGTGGATGATAAGGTGTCGAAGGTGGCGTGGCTGAACCGCTCCAACATCATCTTCGCGGGTGAGGATAAGTGGTCTCTGGACCCGCGGGTGGAGCTGGTGACGCAGGGGCAGCTGGAGTACAGTCTGCGCATTCAGAAGGTGGATGTGTTTGACGAGGGACCCTACACCTGCTCCATACAGACCAAACAGCAGTCCAAAACCTCACAGGTGTACCTCATCGTCCAGGGTGAGTGAGTGTGTGTGTGTGTGTGTATGTGTGTGACTGGTGTGTCTGAGTGTGTTTGTGAGTGACTGACCAATCACTGCTGGAGGACCTCCCATTACCTTAATTAGAGAGGACACACACACACACACACACACACAACCCAAAATCAGGATTCAAGAGTTCCCCTCAGCTGATGAGTGATGATAAAGCGTGTTCATCATGCTGTCCCGGGAGAGAGCCCTGAGCTCATGAGATCCTCGAGCCCAGGGCTCCCTCCTGTTTGCAGGGTGAGAGGGGAGTTTGTGCTGTGGTAGATGTGGAGACTCTCCTGCTGTAGTAGCTGATGAACAGATAGTGATCGCTCTTAACAGATAACTACTGACTTGCAGCATGTCTATGTGCTGATGTGGATTAATAAATTAACTTAAGCTGCATGTTTTTGGACGGTGAGAGGAAACCGGGGAACCCGGGGGAAACCCGCGTGATCACAGGGAGAACATGTAAAGTCCAAACAGAAACATCGGCTGGCTTGGTAAACACTAGAACCAGTGACGTTCTTGCTGTGAGGCAACAGTGTTAACCACTGCGCCACCGTGCCACCCATCTAGGAAAGGAGGAGGAGCAGGGGTGGAAGGGGGGATTCTTCAAAACCAAGACAGCTGTGATGTGGAGCTGAGGGTGTTCATAGTGGATTAGGAATCGTCTGATTGGTGCATTGTAGATTGGATAATGCAGGACCGGCTGTGATCAATCATAATCACGTGACCCTCTCCACATTAGTGCAGAAATAAGCTTCATTAGTTGGGTCGGTGTGGAAAGGTTAATGAAACAGACAGTAGTGATTTCCAGATGTTCTCTGACTTGTGTTTCACTGCAGACATGATCAGTGTGTTCCTCGTCGTTAATATTGGGTGTTTCTCTAATTAAACACTATTCCAGTGTTGGTTCAGCACATTTCTGGATCGGCGGTATCAGTGAAGCGCGTCCCGCCCTGTAATGCTGCCGTTCCTCTTGACAACACTTAAAGTGTTTCAGGTGTAATTCTGCTCCGTTCTTCCTGCAAACAAGTCTCAGGGTGGGCAACAGTATACCTCTGTATACCAACAGTGGCTCTTCACTGCCACATTTATCGCTTCAAAAATACATGCTCTATTGGAGACAGGTCGGGACTGCAGGCAGGCCAGTCCTCTGCAGCAGGGCTCTGTAATGTGGTTCTGCATGGTCTTGTTGGACTCTGCTTGGGCGTCCCTGGAGCAGAAGGCAGCATGTTGAGCTCCAGAATCTCTCTGTGCTGTTCAGCAGTAACCCTCTGAGCTCAGCAGATCACCGCGGCATGTTAGGCATCTCTTTTTCCTTATTGCTGCCAAAGACACTAAGAATACTCTGTTGATTTAGGTCACTCATACAGGTGTCATACACCAGTCCACTCTGTTAGAGGTCTACTTTCCTGTGTGCAGTAAGAGCAGCGGTGTGTGTTTCTGCAGAATAAGGAGAATCATCAGTGCAGGCTTTCTCTATTCTCTCTGTGTGTGAAGTGTGTTTAGAAACACATCAGTAAAACACAAAACACACACAGACATGACACACACCTCTACTGACAGCTGGAAGTGTCCACTTATGAAAGCAGCGAGTGCATGCTGAAGATGAACACTGCTTGATGAAGTGATCAGCAGGAGTCCAGCATGTCTAGTTTCTCAGTCTGAGCTCATCATCTGTAATGTGACCAGGCCCTCCACGCTTTACAGTTTTGTTGGATTGCTTAAGCACGGTTTTCAACACAGGACACAATTAACACAACCACACACCCAATTAGCAAAACACTACAGATCCTTTGCATAATTAAACACTCCTGTAAAAACTATTCACTTCTGTTTAAAAACCCACACTTTTACCATAAGAAACACACATTTTCACATTTACTACACTCTGTTTGCACGAGTTACACACTGCTGTGATCAACCTAAAACACTTTTGGCACTTCTGCTTCCCTATGATTAGATTAGGCTACCATCAACAACGTACAAATATAAAGTAAACTCACCAAACACTACTCAAGACCAACGCTGCACACTCAAGAAACTCATTTATTCCTCAACATGTCCAACGTGTTGACATGAAGACTCAAAGTACTGTAACATGTCACTTTACGTATTGAACTGTAAGTTAGACATTGTCTCTTCGCCTAGCTGGATCTGGCATGAGAATGATCAACATCGCACTGTTGTCCTTAGCAAGACAGCTTGGAAAGACGTGTCCTGAATGTAGAGTCTTGTATTGCTGCTGCCTCCATCTGGTCACAGGCCTCCTCCATGGCTTGGATGAGGGATACCTCAGCTTGGAGACGGAGATCATATACTTTCCACCACCATGCAGAGAAAAACTCTTCTATAAGGATAAGGAATGGAGAGTATGCTGGAAGATACAGGACGGTGAAATGTGGATGTTGCTGAAACCAGTTCTGAACCAGAGCAGAACGGTGGAAAGACACATTGTCCCAGACAACAATGTATTGCGGATGACCGATTTGATTTGCTGCTGTTATGTTGTGCAATTGGTCCAAGAATGTAAGTATATGTGTTGTGTTGTAAGGGCTCATACGGTCATGACAGTGGAGGACCCCATTCTTTGTAATGGCAGCACAGAGTGTTACTGTACATTTCCCCCATGTTGCCCTGGGACATTGACTACAGCCCTGTGGCCAATGATGATTCTTCTACTCTGTGTTCTCGTCAGGTTGAACACACCATCATCTACGTAAGCGAACTCATGCTGGATCTCCTCTTTATCCACTCGTAAAACTACCTGAAGAACAGTGTCAGGCAAAATGGTGTAGTTCAGTGTAGATCTAGTATTACAGTACAGTAAAAGATAATGAGACAGTATGCCAGATCACACTGCTAGAGTGGATACCGCGGTCTTTTCACCCTTTCGAAATTGTGCTGAAAAGGCTCTCGATATATTCGCTTCATTTGAATATGTTTTTTTTTAATGGTGTGCCAGTGTTGATATTGAGACCTGATGGTTTTCATTGAAACTGGCATATTATAGTGCTTGAACACCTGATTGTTGTGTCTACAATAAATCAAACAAGTGTTTGCACACCTGACGACTGTGTTGAACCAGTTGTTTGGACGGTGCAGTAATTTGACAGTCAGTGCTTTGGTATTGCGAGGAAGTGACTTCATGATAGAGTTTAGTGTGTGATGTATGTTAAGTGTGTTTAGTGTTTTGCCATAAGTGTTAATTTGACAATGTGCTTATAGTTGTGCAAGTATGGGCTGATGTTTTGATACTTGTGTGTGTAAGGTTTTGCTAATAGTGTACTACTTTTAACTTTAGTGTGTAAGCAATCCTAAAGAACTGTAAATGACAACTTATTTACATTATGGGATGTTTTTTGTATAAGTTGTTTACATTTTAAGACTTTTTATTTAAACACAAATGTCACACATACACGCACACACACACGCACACACACGCACACACACACACACACACACACACACACACACACACACACACACACACGCACGCACACACACACACACACACACACACACACACTCACTCACACACACACACACGCACACACACACACACACACACACACACACAATGTTTGCTTTATGGAAAGCAAAAACTTTGAAGCTCAATATCTCACAACTCTCCAGAACACAGAGAGAACCGAATAACTCCAAGCTGAAGATGTACACACCAGCCACTAACACATACAACACACAACACACACACACACACACACACACACACACACACACACACACACACACACACACACACACGATAACATCTTCACTCCCACACAGACACAGAGAGAGACAAACTGCCATCTCTCATGAGCACGCGCGTACACACTCTCCTTCACACTCTCTCTTCTGTGTGTGTGTGTGTGTATGTGTGTGTGTGTGTGTGTGTGTGTGTGTGTGTGTGTGTGTGTGTGTGCGTGTGTGTGTGTGTGTGTGTGCGTGTGTGTGTGTGTGTGTGTGTGTGTGTGTGTGTGTGTGTGTGTGGTTGTTAATGACTGTGAGTTGAGGATCTGCAACTGTGTGCTCGTTATTTAATCCACACTTGTTCGTTTGTCTGTCTGTAATTACCCAGTGTTGGTTTCACACTTGTGCTGGTGTGAAGCGCAGTGCTCTCAGACAGGTGTGTGTGTGTGTGTGTGTGTGTGTGTGTGTGTGTGTGTGTGTGTGTGTGTGAAACATAAAAGCCAGATTCCCCTAAAATATACATATACAGTTTGGATCAGATATGAATGTGTGTGTGTGTGCATGCGTGCATGCGTGCGTGTGTGTGTGTGTGTGTGTGAGTGAGTGTGTGCGTGCATGCGTGCGTGTGTGTGTGTGAGTGCGTGTGTGCGTGTGTGTTAGTGTGTGTGTGTGTGCGCGTGTGCGTGTGTGCGTGCGCGCGTGTGTGTGTGTGTGTGTGTGTGTGTGTGTGTGTG